GTAAAACGCGAATGTCAGTCGAGGCTGGAGCCTGGATCTGGGCGGACAGGGGCTGGGTCACTGTGGTTGGCGGCATAAAGGCACCACCCCCATCAACCCCACCCAGCAGTGTTGGCCCGTCCCACCCTTCCCGGCCAGAAGGAAAACAAGACCCAAGGCAACAGGGATCAGCTCCTTACCTGACCCTATAGTCCCAAGTGTCCACCATGTTCTAGAGCAAAGACCCTGAGCCCCCACTGACTCACCTGGCCACCAACCCAGGTGGGACCCCAATTCCCTCCAACCTTACCAGGACCACTCACCTCCTTTGCCACTGACTTCTGCAGCCTGCCCCTCTGCTCGAGCTGCATGGAGAAGAGTCAGATGGGACCCTGGGAGCAGATCGGCTCCAACCCTGCCTCCGCCAACTCTCCCTCCACACCTACCACATCCTCCTTCAGGCGCCCTGCCACCTGGTCCTCCTCAAATGCTCGGGCCTCAGCCTTCTCCTCCTCTGTGCAGGACAGACCAGACCAAGTAAACTGAGGCTCAGATCCCTCTTCGCCCATCCTGTCCCCATCCCACTGTCCCAGGGCTGGGCAATGCAGGAAGTTCCAGGTGCCTCAGCTGAGGGGAGAGCAGGCTGGAGGGTTTCTTCATGCCTTTACTTATTGGATCAGTACTTATTGTCAGTACTGGCTTCCCTGGAAGGCCCATGAGAGCTCCTGGCCACCCCCACAGGGCAGCCAGTACCAACAGCCCGGGCACTCACTGGGCACCCACGTCAGTCACCCATCAGGTGGCTGGGGCTGCAGCGGCGGCACAAGCCCTGCCCGTGGCTCACCTTGCTGTCGGAGCTGCTCTAGGTAGAGCTTGGCCAAGCGCAGCTTCTTCTCCTGTGCAGTTTCCTCCAGCTCTTCCTCCTCCTCCTCCTCCTCAGGCCTCCTTGGAGGTAGGCTGTAGGCAGGGAGGGGCTGGGTCTGAGGGGCTCAGCTTGTTCCTCTGGCCACTAGGACTCTGCCTTCTGAATGCTCACCTTCCTATCCAACCTTCCCCATCCCCGCCAGCCCATATGGCTGGTAACTACACTGCAGAAAGCTGAAGGATGTGACTCTCCAAGTTAAAAGGCCCCACTCAGTGGCCCACATAAGGGTGGAAACAGACCCAAATCCCAAAGAGATCACTAAAGCCTCTCAACTCTGGGGGAAAGAGGAGGCTTCCGAGAGAAACCAGGCTTCCAAAAGAAATCAGGTCACATACAAAGAGTCAGGAATCAAAATGCTCCAGCATCTCAACAGCAATATTGAGAACGAGACAGAGGAGCCTCACACACCCAGCTCTGGAGGAATATGCTGACCCCTAAAATGCCATGCCCAGTCAAACGAACAACACTGCCAGGTGTGCAAGGTGCCACAGAATTGTTTCTCCCTCTTCTTCTTAAGAAGGATAGAGGATGTACTCCCCAAATGAGAGAGTAAACTGGGAAAGGGAAGGCAAGGGATGCCAGAAACCAGAGATGCTACAGAGAGAACAGAGAAGAGGACACCATCCCCAGACACGACAGGGGCAGTCTGGAACAAATCCAAGGACCCACCAGGCAGACACACCGGGACTGTCATCACCACTGCACCATCCTTTACCCTGGGGACAAGGTTCCAAATGAACCTTCACTGCTTGAGGATTGACCTTTACTGGTAGAGTCACTGCTTTCCCCTCCATGCCCCCAGTCCCCTGATCAGCAGAGAGGACCCACTTCACTCAAAGATAGGTCCTGCTTTGACCTGTTTCTGGGAGCTGGGAGTAGGTCATGAGCACTCAAACACAGAAAATCCGGGGCAGCCCATTCCCTCCGATCATGTGCCAGCAGACATCCAGTCTCTGTCCATTGCCCTAACCGTGTTTCCAGGACTCACTCATAACCCTGCCCCTGACTTCCACAGAAGGGGCCTTGAAAACTCTCAGGAAAGCCAAAGCTGGACCATGCCCCAGAAATCATTTAGTGCCCTATGCCTGGCAGGTCTTCAGCCAAAAACAGGGCTGGTGCTGCCCTTCCTTTACACAGCCAAGGGACCTGTGTTAAGTTCGGACTTCTACTCAGTTTAGCCAAACGAATCAATCTATTGTTGAAGGATTCATATGCATGAGGCAGAACAGTAAAGAAATGCAAGGGAAGTATACACTATGATTCCATTTACATGGCGTGCTAGAAAACACACAATTCTAGGGGCAGCGGCTACCACAGACTGGAGTAGGGAGAGGAGCTGACTATGAAGAAGGAGGAAGAGTTTTGGAGGGTGATGAAACCCTTGTATATCTTCAAGGTAGTGGTAATTACATGACTGTGTATATTTCTCAAAATTCACCGAACCATAACTTTAAAAAGTGAATGTTACTATATGTAAATTATACCTAAATGGAAAATATTAGTTTTTTAAAAGAAGAAGAAAGAAACCAAAGAAATTATTAACTCAAGTTAGGAATAACAGTTGGGACTTCTAAGTTGCTGCAAATGTTCTAGTTCTTAACCTAAGTGGTAAGTGCAGAGGCTTACCATTTCACCACTACTCTCTACATATGTATATCATTCACTCTTCTGCATCTAACAAGCTTCACAATACATTTAAAAAACATTTAAAAGTGCTTAGCCCACACTAGCCTGGCACATACTCATCCACAATAACCTTCCCATTAAGAAAAGTACATTAATGGCTGGGCATGGTAGCTCATGCTGGTAATCCCAGCGCTCTGGGAGGCTGAGGTGGGTGGATCAATTGAGGTCAGGAGTTTGAGACTAGCCTGGCCACCATGGTGTGAAACTCCATCTCCACTACACATACATAATTAGCCAGGTATGGTGGTACAGGACTATAATCCCAACTATTCAGGTGGCTGAGGCAGGAGAATCACTTGAACCAGGGAAGCAGAGGTTGCAGTAAGCCAAGATCGCATCACTGCACTCCAGCCTGGACAACAGAGTGAGACTCTGTCTCAAAAACAAAAAAAGTACATTAAGTCTTTCTGCAGGCAAATTAAGGCAACACATACTTAATTCTAGAAGTGAGGTTCTCAAGTCAATTCATAAGGAAGACACTAGGATTCCTTGATCCAAGAGCTCTAACCCACAGGGTCAGGCCTGACACCTTGCCTGACTCTTTGGAATCCTGCAAGCAACCACACCCATCATCTCCAGAAATAAGGGAGGCATTCAAAGCCCTTTAGAATCTGCATGTACCTATGACCACCCCTCCTGTTATCGTGTTTTTGTAGAGACAGGGTCTTGCTCTGTCACCCAGACTGGAGGTCAGTGCATGGTCATAGCTCACTGCAGCATCAACTTCCTGGGAAGGGATCCCCCTACCTTAGCCTCCCAAGTAGGTGGGACTACAGGTGTATGCCACCATAGCCAGCTAACTTTTTTACTTTTTGTACAGACAAGATCTCACTGTGTTGTCCAGGCTGGTCTCAAACTCCTGACCTCAAGCAATCCTCCCACCTTGGCCTCCCAAAGTGCTGGTATTACAGGTGTGAGTTACCAGGCCCGGCCCCTTCCATCTTTTCTATCACCCATTCTGGCACACTTACACCTCAAACTGTCCTCTGATCCCTGAATGCCTTCCCTACCTCTCCATGAGAGACTCCTCCTCATCTCTCAAGACCCTATTTAAATGTCCCTCCCCTGTTCCCAGACGCACAACTAACTATAAGATACACATCTCACTACAAACTTTCTTCAACTGCCTGCCTAACTCTGCACTTTCAACAGTGAAGGCAGTGTCTGGCATGTTAACCGACAGGGACTCTAGTTAAATCGCGAAATTGCAGGAAAACTGGCAAGAGGAGAGGGATGCAAGAAATACTTGACAGCTTTGTTCTGTTTTCCTGCAATTTCACAATCAGTCCAGTCCCATGTTTAGCTCCTTGCCAAAACCTAAGGAGGTCGCAGTAGCCTCGGATTGGGGCCTAGGGTCCTTCCCATCCACAGACCTCGCAGAAACGAGACTTCGCAGGACCAGAAACTAAAGGAAAGAGCTACGATCTCAGAGCCAAGGCCAGAGTCTTGGGTTCTAGGCTTAGCTCTGCCCAGACTCAAGAGTCTTCCAGGCACCATGGGCCTCAGTTTTCCCTCCCACTAGGTGGAAAAGAACAGCTCACCTCTCGCTCTCAGAGTCGCTGGAGATCTCCTCATTCATCTTGGTGCCACCTTTGGTTTTGCCCCTGTCCCCCGCAGAGACGGCCTGGGAATTATAAGGTCCTTTCTTTGGTCAAGAGTCCCGACCACCCTGGCATTGACTAAGGGGCCTCCTCGGGTCCCTCATGAGCCCCAGGATGGTAAAGGCAGTGGCTCCCGGGTTAAATGCACGGCTTTCTAGGATTTGGCTAGCGGAGAGAAGAACGAAGCTGATTCCAGCTGGTGTCCCGGGCGAAGAGCTGGGGAAGGGCCCGGACCCGGGTCCCCCTGATGGGATGACGGTTGTCCCAGCACCAGGGCATACCACGGCCCGCAGAAGCACCATGCTTACCTTTCGCCGCCGCTTGCCGGCCGCCGCACCAGCCCCGGCCCCCAAAGCCGGCTTTCCCCGCTTACGAGCCGCTGCTTTTGCCGACATGCTGCCCACCGGGTGTGTGCCAGCGGCCACCGGAGAACTCACGTGGCAGCTGAACCCTCCCCGCACCCCAGCCGCATGGCAAGATTCCGCTTCCTGATAGGCTTCCATAGCCCGGGCCCCGCCTTCCACTGTTCCATTGGGTCCTTCGGCAGGCTCTGCCACGCCCCCAAACGCCCATAGGATGGACGCTTGTGGCCCCGCCTCCTGGAGTTCCTATAGGCTCCCGCACTAGGCTCGAGTGGGAAGCCGGCGTCTCCCGGGCGCTTCCGGCCTGAAGCTGCAGCGCTTGCGCTCTGCTGCTGGCCGACTTCGAAGTGGGAGCAAGAGCCTTCTCGGTGTTTGCGCCCCTTGGCCGCTGGGGGGCGCCAGAGACGCGGAACCCGTCCGCGTTCTGGAGCGTGACTCCTCCCCTCCTTGGGCAGCCAGGCGCTAGGCCCAGCGGGGATCCAAGCAGCCTGGGGGAGAGGGAGGCGGTGCCTGTACCCGGGCCCAAGGTCACCGGGCGACCGACAGATGCATGCCGCAGGCCCCGGCCACATGAGCAGCGCTACGGACGCGACTGCCCGGGCCTTGGATATACCAGATCGAGTGCCCACCCGTCCGTGGGACTGGCCTCCTGATTCGACCTGCCCCAGCCTCTGCTTCACCCCACTGGTGGCCAAATAGCCGATGTCTAAGCCTTACACAAGCATATACAGCGTCTGGCGACTTTTGGGAATTCCCTCGCTAAGTCACGCCTGAGACTCATGGAGAGATGCTAGACCTGGGACTGCCCTGGGAGGCGCACACAACCAGGTCGGGCGGCAGCCAAGACCTCTCCCATGTCCCTGCTTTTCTTGGGTGAGTGTCCTATGGTCCTGCCCACAGTCCTCCGCAGGGCAGAGCAGGGCAGGGCAGGGCAGGGCCTGGTGGACTGGCCTTTGCCCTCTGGTAGTTCAAGGCCATTGATCTGGAGTTCTGGCTTCCTAGAACTCTTCAGTCCATTGGGAAGGGCCTCTACAACACTGGGTTCTAAGCTTCCGGGGGATAAATCTGGCCCGCCCCAGGATCCTCTGCCCACCCTCCCCCATAGCTCCGTGACTCAGCTCAGCAACCATGCCAGGGCTGAGCTAGCTGACACAGGGAGGAGCCCCTAAGTGGACTGGAGCGATCTTCCTTTCACTTTCCCTACCCCTCAGGACTCGAAGGTGAGCTGGAGAGGGTAGGGAGCCAGGCAGACTCCGTTGACTAGAGTGGGAAGACTGGAGAGTCCTAACCTTGCACTTGGGACTGGGGAAAGGAGTGTTTCTGAGTGACAAAGAGCTGGGTGTGGTCTGGGGCTGGGAATGCAGTCAGAGTGGACAGAGGACACAGTGGAAGGCCACCGAACAGGGAGCCCGGGGTGGGACAAGTTGGTGCTATACAGGCCCAGGGTGGGGTTGGGGAGTGAGAGTGGGCGTTGGGGATGAGGAGACCATGGAGACCTACGGGCCCCTCTGTGCCTCAGGACAGCCATGGCTCCAAAGAGGAAGTGCTCAGTACAGACTGAGGGCCCTGAGAAGAAGAAGGGGCAGCAGGGGGCAGGGCAGGAGGACCTCTTCCGCTCCGCCGCTGAGGCCCTCAGGGCCGCACCCGCAGAGAGGCGCATAATCCGTGTGGATCCGACGTGTCCACTCAGCAGCAGCCCTGGGACCCAGGTGAGTGGCCCCAGCCAGGCCAGAGCCTGCCCACTGATAGGCGCAAACACACCCAGGCCTCCCCCTTGGGGCTCAGTTCTGGTTTTGGAGCCCAAGGCCCCCAGGTAAGCACGCCAGAGCAAGGCCATGTTCTTCTGAACACAGACATCAGGGCTGTGTCCCATCAGGTCTAGGCAGGTCACATCTGCTTTTCAGACCCCATGCAGGCCTCCGCCCAGCATGCTTAGGGAAAGTCTCTGACTACCTCAGTCTCCCTGGTGCTCACTCATGTCCCTTCAGGGCAGAGCCATGTCCCTCTTGGATTTCCCCATTCAGGGCCCAGCTGTGTCCTCCCAGAAGGACATGCCCCCATCCGAGTGTCACACCACATCCCCTAGGGAAGAGCCATGACCACCCAAGCTTCCAAGACAGAGTCCCTCTGACTCCCATTGCCATCAGACTCCTGTCCCCTTCGGAGCCCTCTCAGTGTGCAGCCAGGCACCCATCTGACCCCAGCCAGCCTGCCCCCACCTCCCTTCTGGCCCAGGTGCATGAGGACTACGACTGCACCCTGAACCAGACCGACATCGGGAAGAACAACAACAAGTTCTACATCATCCAGCTGCTCCAGGATGGTGGCCGCTTTGCCTGCTGGACCCGCTGGGGCCGCGTGGTGAGTGCCCCGCTTGCTCTGCACGTGCTGCCCAGGGCCCTCAGAAGGCCACGGCTACTGACTGGGCGGCATCCCCAACTGTCCAGGGGTGCTCAGCACAGGGTCTGGCCCAGCACACAGGCCAGCAAACGCTGATGGTGGGCACACCCCTGAAGGCTATCTGTGGGTGGCAGGGAGAGCTTGGCCAGTCGAAGCTCAACCCCTTCACAACACTAGAAGATGCAAAGAAGGACTTTGAGAAGAAATTTCAGGAAAAGACCAAGAACAAATGGGCAGAGCGAGACCGATTTGTGGCCCACCCCGGCAAGTACACACTTATCGAAGTGCAGGGAGAGGATGAGGCCCAGGAAGCTGTGGTGAAGGTGAGAGGGCCAGGGAAGGGAGGCAGGCCCTGGGCAGAGGGAGGGCACTGGCTGGAGAATCCCTGCTGGGTGGGCTGTGCCACTGCCCAGCTGTGCAGCCTCAGGCACAGAACTCCCCTCTGGCCTCAGGCTGGCTGGTCTCTGTCTGGTGTTGCGCCCTGCCCAGCCGCTCCTGCTCACCTCTGCCCTGAATCTTCAGGTGGACGGAGGCCCAGTGAGGACTGTGGCAAAGCGGGTGCAGCCCTGCTCCCTGGACCCAGCCACGCAGAAGCTCATCACTAACATCTTCAGCAAGGAGATGTTTAAGAATGCCATGGCCCTCATGGACCTGGGTGAGGGGTGAGGGAGGCAGGGTGGCAGGGGCCTCAGGGAGGCAGGGCTGTGGGGCTGAGTCTCCCCACTCCCCCGTCCCCCCAGATGTGAAGAAGATGCCCCTGGGAAAGCTGAGCAAGCAGCAGATTGCACGGGGCTTCGAGGCCTTGGAGGCACTGGAGGACGCCCTGAAAGGCCCCAAGGATGGTGGCCAGAGCCTGGAGGAGCTGTCCTCCCACTTTTACACCGTCATACCGCACAACTTCGGCCGTAGCCGGCCCCCACCCATCAACACCCCGGAGCTTCTGCAGGCCAAGAAGGACATGCTGCTGGTGAGGGCTGGCAGGGGTGCGGGCAGGCAGTGGGGCACTGAACAGCCTAGGCGACAAGCGAGACGAGAGACAGGTGGCCAAGAACGCCCAGAGGGGTGGACTGCCTGGGCAAGCTGACAGATGGGTGGGGAAGGCCAGGCAGACAGATGGGGTGATGGGACAGGCGGACACACTGGTGGGGTAGCTGCAGTACCAGGCATGTGAGAGAGGAAAGGGAAGGCCAGAGGTCACATGGGAAGACGAGCGGCCAGGGCCCATCATCCTAGGTGCTGGCAGACATCGAGCTGGCCCAGGCCCTGCAGGCAGCCCCTGAACAGAAGAAGATGGTGGAGGAGGTGCCACACCCCCTAGACCGAGACTACCGGCTTCTCAAGTGCCAGCTGCAGCTGCTGGACCCTGGGGCACCTGAGTACAAGGTGAGCTGGGCTCCACAGAGGGGCCAGGCTAACAGTAAGCCCTGTCCCTCTGCCCACCTGCCCTCCAGGTACCCAGAGGAATACTCGCCCTCAGCCTTCTCTTCCTGTGTCTCCAGGGCCTGCGGAGGGCTCAGGACCAGGGGGGACGAGACGACGAGAAGCGGGGATTAGCTCCTGAGCCTCCCACCCTGGCACCCAGCTTCTGCTCTCCCCACAGGTGATACAGACCTACTTAAAACAGACTGGCAACAACCACAGGTGCCCTACTCTTCAACACGCCTGGAGAGTGAACCGAGAAGGGGAGGTGAGGGAGATTCCCCCACCCCCTCCACCATCACCCCTGTGCCTTAGGAAGATGCCCTTGGCTTATCTGCCCCTTAGCAAATCATTGAGCAACTCTGCTCAGTTTCTGCCAGGCCATGAGTGTGCTGGAGTAAGCAGAGGGGCCCTCAGGCTTGGTCACACCTCTGAGCAGCCGGGCAAGGCACCGGAGTGCTTGGGTGGCATAACTCCCATTTCTCACATCCTTTCCACTCAGGGAGACAGATTCCAGGCCCACTCCAGACTGGGTAATCGGAGGCTGCTGTGGCACGGCACCAACGTGGCCGTGGTGGCCGCCATCCTCACTAGTGGACTCCGCATCATGCCACATTCTGGTGGGCGTGTTGGCAAGGGCATCTACTTCGCCTCAGAGAACAGCAAGTCAGCCGGCTATGGTGAGGTTTCCCTCTAGGCCAGGCCCTGGGAGGGTTGGCACTAAGGTGGATGGGTCCCAGTCCTTGCCCACTGGAAACTCACAGGGGATCCGAGAGAAGAATCATTTAGTGGTTAATGACTACAGTGCTCAGTGGGTTGTCCTGGGCTTTAGGGCGGGGATCTCAGGGGACGTGCCTGATGGTCAGGGATGGCTTCCTGGAGGAGGTAATACAGATAGAATGGGTGCACCAACCGGACCTGGGAGTGATGGCAAGCCCAGCTGGACTTGAGTGTGGCAGGATCTCAGTGGCTACAGCTGTGGAGAAGGTAGCAGCAGCCAGAGGCTGCAGGGAGGCCATGCTCTCATCCAAGCCGGATGTGAGGGGTGCCTTGTCCGGGGCTGGGAGGTGCGGGGGAGGGAGCCCATGAGAGGGACGTGTGGAAGGTGGGATGGCCAGCGTGTGGGAAAGGGTCAGCACTGTCTCCAGTGACTTCCGAGTTTCTGGCCAGGAGTGTCCTCACTGAAATGACCTCCCAGGCTGACCCCATCATTGAAGGCCACCACCGTTTGTAAGGCCAAGAGAGCATGGACCAAGGATACATCCCAGAATAGATGGGGCTGAAGTTCTAGGATGCCTGAGGTCACCAAGAGCAAGGGGTCCACCAGAAGGGCAGAGGAGCTTAGGAAACAGTGGTGGGGTAGGCTCAGGAGAGCCACCGTGAGGAGGTCCCAGGTAGGGGCTGATGATGTCAGCAGTGAAGTCAGCAGGGCAGGCCAGGGAGAAAAGCCCCTGCCCCGGGTTTGGTCACTGGGAGGCCATTGCTGACTTTCATGAGGACAGCAGTGGGTGCAGAGGCCTGGCCACAGGGAGCATGCTGGGACAAGGAGGGAGTGATGGCTAGAGGAGAGTGAGCCTTTTCTGGGCTGGAGCAGCAAAGCCAGAAGGGATAACATCACAGCAGAGAGGAGCCCTCGGGTTAGCGGGAGGCAGGCTGAGCTGCCTGCCAGTGACTCCTTGTGTTCTCCAGTTACTGGCATGAACTGTGGGGACCACTACATCGGCTACATGTTCCTGGGTGAGGTGGCCCTGGGCAGAGAGTACCATATCACCATGGACAACCCCAGCTTGAAGACCCCACCTCCTGGCTTCAACAGTGTCATTGCCCGAGGCCACACCGAGCCTGGTGAGTCCTCAGAAGCTGGACAGGCCAAGGAGAAAGGTGGGGCTGAGGTAGGGGCTGGGACATTTTCAGGGAGGGGGCTGTGAAGAGGGACAAAAAGAATCTTCCCTGAAGCCACTCACTCTGTCATTTGACAAACATCCACTGGTTCAACAAATCTTTCCTGGGCATCCCAGAGGGCTTCAGTGCTCAGTCATTGACTGAGCATTGAAGGATGAGTAGGAGTTTCCCAGAGAGAAGGTGAGATGGACACTCCAGCCAGAAGCCTGAGCCTATGTCGTGGTCTGGAGGTGGGCAAGGTGGAATGAGCAGGCGTGCCCTCTGACAGATGTGGAGACCGTAGGCTGCAGGACTTATTTGTAAGTCCAGGGACCAGTGACCCCTGAGCCACCCTGACCCTTGATGTGCCCTGCAGATCCGACCCAGGACACTGAGCTGGAGCTGGATGGCCAGCGAGTAGTGGTGCCCCAGGGCCAGCCTGTGCCCTGCCCAGAGTTCAGCAGCTCCACATTCTCCCAGAGCGAGTACCTCATCTACCAGGAGAGCCAGTGTCGCCTGCGCTACCTGCTGGAGGTTCACCTCTGAGTGCCCACTCTGTCCCCCTGGGTCCTGCAGGGCTGGACGGTGATCTTCACTCTTCCTTCCCTGTCTCCGGTTCCCCTACATCTCCTTTTTTCAAGAATGCAATACATTGTTGTTAACTACAGTCACCGAGCTGTACAGGATCCCTGGATTTACTCCTCCTGTCTGACTGAAATTGTGTGTTCTTTGACCCACAGCTGCCCGGTCCCTCTCCTCCCAGCATTCTACTCTTGTATAAGGCAGCTTTTTTAGGTTCCACATGTAAGTGAAGTCATGCGATGTTTGTCTTTCTGTGCCTGGCTTATTTCACTTAGCATAATATCCACCAGGTTCACCCATGTTTTCATAAAGGACAGGATTTCTTCCTTTTTAAGGCTGAATGGTACTCTGTTTTGTATATGCTCCACCTTTCCTCTATCCACTCATCTGTCGGTGGACGCTGAGGTTGCTTCCATCTCTCGGCTATGGTGAGCAGTGCTGCAGTGAACTGGCAGCGCAGACGTCTCTTGGACATGCTGATTTCATTCCCCTTGGATGGTTGCTGGATCCGTATCACTCCCTCTTGCCAGGCTCCTCTGTGTCCCAGACATCGATCCCCCTTCCCTCCAATCCCTGTTAGCCTTGGCATGGCTGTGGCCCCAGAGTCTTGCCTCCTAAAGTGAGGGGTGTGGTGGGGACTTATTACGGGGACACAGATGCAGCAGCCTACTCAAGGGGCACAGCTGAGAGTGGGCTGGGTCCCACATCCACCCACGCCATCCATCCTGGCCTGAACTACACATCAGAGCCCCGTGGTCACCAAGGTAGGCTAAACTGCAGGCACGCGCAAGCAGGTTTAGTAAACATGGTATTCTATTGCTCCAGCCTCTGCCTGTCTGTGCCACAGCTGTGCTGGGCCTGAGCCTCCAGCCACACTCCAGGTAGTGAGCACTCACATGGGTTGATGTGGATCATGTACATACCCCTGTCCCTCCTGGTCCATCACTGCAACAACCTGCTTCCTCTCATTGAGCCTTCGAGGGCGACCCCCACTATCAACTGAGAACTATTTGTCATCTGGGGACCCACATGGTGATTCTGTCCTTCATCCCAGACATTGCCAGGTGAATCAAGCATTTCTCATGTTTTAGCACCAAACATCCCTTTGTGTCTTTTTGTTTTCGAGGCAGGGTCTAACTGTCACCCAAGCTGGAGTGCAGTGGTGCGACCACTGCTCACTGCAGCCTCAGCCTCCCCAGGCTCAGGTGATCCTCCCATCTCAGCCTCCAAAGTAGCTGGGACTGCAGATACATGACACCATACCTGGCTAATTTTTGAGTTTTGCCATGTTGCCCAGGTTGGTCTCAAACTCCAGGGCTGAGGTGATCCTCCTGCCTTGGCCTCCCAAAGTGCTGGGATCACCGCACCCAGCCTCCTTTGTGTCTTAATCTAAATATTACAAACAAGTTGAACACATGTCAGAGGAGCACAGCTCTGCAGCCATGAAAGGAGGCTGTTCAGGCAGGAATGCCAGTGATCACCAGCAGGTCATCCTACCCACGGACGAGGAGTGCCAGTGCTGGAGCCGGTGACGTCCAGGCTAGGGTTGCATGGTACATTTAGATGTTGTGTCCCTTTAGTCTCCTTTAATCTGAAAACACTCCTCAGCTTTTTTTTTCTTTTATAACTTTGACATTCTTGAGAAGAATATAGACCAGTTTTATAGAATGTTTCTGAGTTTAGGTTTCTCTGATGCTTTGTGGTGATTAGATTTAGGTATTGCATAGGCAGGAACATGACATAAATGATATGCCTTCAGTGAATTCCATCCGTAGGGGCATGGCCCATTCTTGGTAATGTTAATTAACCTTGATCATCCATTAAGGTGATGTCCACTACATTTCTCCACTGTGAAGCTACCATTCTCTCCTTTGTAATTAATCAGTAATCTGTGGGGAAATATTGTGGGGTGTAAATGTCCCTTTTTTCATCACCTTTCACCCACTAGCTTTAATATCCATTGATGATAACTTACCCGAAATCAATTACCTGAATCAATTTTTGCTAAGAGGGTTGGAAACGGTAGTTAATCTAACTCCATCGTTTCCTTTATAGTATTAGTTAACAATATCCTTTCTGTCTTTGTTATCAGTATAGACTCCTGGATTTTTATTTTATTCAGTGAGTTATAATCCATTACTGTCATTTATTTTTGAGCCTCAAGTTGTCCCAGATTTGGCCAGCAGAAGGTCCCTTCTGTGTCCTGATCATTTCTTTTTTTCTTTTCTTTTCTTTCTTTCTTTTTTTTTTTTTTTTTTTTTTTTGAGCATATCCTTTCTCTCTGGCATCACAAGATGTTCCAAGTTCATCTTGTACAAACCTGGAATCAGCCATTTCTCCAAGGAGTCCTGGTTCCTGGGAGCAGGAAATGTTGTTTAGAATCCAAGATCTGGGCAGTAGATGTGCTTGTTGGTACTAAGGTGTCATTGCTTTTAAGTCCTTTCAGCAAAGAGAGCTAAGGAACGTGTATATGTGGCTGGGCACAGTGGCTCTCACCTGTAACCTCAGCACTGTGAGAGGCCAAAGCAGGAGGATCTCTTGAGCCCAAGAGTTCGAAGCTGGAGTGAGTTATGATTGCAACACTACGTTCCAGCCTGAATGACAAACTGAGACTCTGTCTCTAAAAAAATTAAAAAGGAAAAAAAAAAGGGAGAGAAGGAATAAGTATGTGTGAATAAAAAACAAACATATCCCTCTATACCTATTTATCCAGTTCCAATCAAATACCACAGAGTTCTTCTGTTCTTCCCCGATTCCCTATTTCCTCAGTTCTCAAACAGTAACAACCTGGGTTTCCATCAACATCAATATATCTACCTATTTGCTCAATTCTACACAGAAAGGAATTGCAGAATTGCCATACCCATACCCTGTGAAAAACAAACGTTCTAAATAGAGCTCATGATGTATCTGATGTTACTCAAGATTATCTTTTTGTCTTTAGACTGAGGGTCCATGGTCAAAGTAACAGTTTAAATACAGGTTCAGATGTTACTTGGATTGGTTCTTTCTCTTCAATGAGGTTGTGTTATTGGTTTGAAATACAGATAGGCTCAGTCATTTCTGTCTACATTCTTCTGTGTTACTGTATCGTTTTCAATATGTGGAACATTAATGTAGTTCCAAAAGGTCCACTCTATACAAGTAGAATCCTCCTATCCCCTCCCTCCATTCCTACTCACCTGCGGGAGGGAGCCAGTGCCTTAGTTTCTGGCGTATCCTTCCTGTAACTTTTTAATTTTGTTTTGTTTTGTGTTTTGCAAATTTTGCAATACACACACATACATACACATGCTAACAAGGTGTTTTAATTTTTTATTCATATTAATTATGTTGAAGGGAGCATGAACTCTGCAACCCACCATGGTCTCCACCCCGCCCTAGTCTACTTTTCTCATTTGCTGCTCCCACCTGGCCCTACTGAGCTCTCTCCAGGGCCTGGTAGCTCAAGGGCTGCCCCAGGGCCACAGGGCTGCCTGGTTAGAGACCAAAACTTCAAAAATCCAGCTTCACCTCCTAGAAGCAAATGCCCAAGTTCAAGTTGTAGCCAAGGACAGGAAGGGACACCTGTGTGGATGTAGCTCTAGGAAGCAAGTAACCTGGATTCCAGGTCCAACTCAGCTGTGTGATCTGGGACACATTTCTCCCCTCTCTGGACCCTACTTTTCTCATCTGAATAATGGAGAACTACACTGGAGTCCTTTGAATTCCAGCACAAAATTAGTCAAACCAGGAGGCCCATGTCCTGTCTTCACCATCTAGATCTGCAGCGATGCTGACCATGTGCCTGTGAGGAGTGCTAGGGGCACAGGCGGTACAAGTGGGACTCATGAGAACCCTGCTCTCATGGAGCTTACATTCTAGCAAAGCAGGCTCTAAGTAAATGTGTGCATAAATATGAAATACCACAGCAGGTAGGAAAAGTGCTGGGAAGAAAAATAAAGCAGGATAAAAGGATTTGAGTGATGAGAAGGTAGAATGATTTTAGGAAAGACAGTCGCTGAAGGTCCCTCTCGAGTAGAGACCTGAATTGTGTGAGGCAGCAAGCCGTGGGCAGATCTGCAGGAAGGGTATTCTTGCAATGGAAACACCAGAGGCAAAGAAACCGGTTTGATGGGCAGAAGGAACAGCAAGCAGACTGCTGTGGCTAGAAATACTGTGAGCAAGGAGGGTGGGCTCAGAGATGGGCAAAAAAGGCAGATAATAGGGCCTAGCTCACATCACAGAGAAGCTGAGATTCTATTCTGATCTGTTCTGATGAAGGGAAGCTCTTGGAGGGATGAAAGCTGGGTCATGCCCCGTCGCTTTGTTTTTAGAGAGATCCACTTCAGCCACCGTGTGGAGAGTGGACGGTAGAATATATGTCAGTTAACATCCAGTCAGCAAGATAGAAAGTACCCTAGGTATTTCAGACAAGGGAAATTTGATACAGGGAAAGAATTGAATGACCAAATGGGGGATGATGCGGCAATCCAAAGATTAGCAACAGCCGGAAGTCACTACCACCCTAAGACTGGAGAGATCAAGGAAGCAAATGGGGCTCTGCTGCCCAGAGGCAAGGATCACCCTGCAGGAGCCAGACCACAGAGGGGGCCACCTGAAGGAGCCCCTAGCTGAGCTTGAGGGAAATAAATCCTGGCTTCTCCCTCCTCCCATCCACCAGTCTTCTGCTGGTAACTTCCATTGGCTGAACATACCCAAAGTCAGTTGACAAAGGAGGCTGGGAAATAGTTCCCAGGAAGGCAGTATAGCACTCGGGGGAAGAGGGATGAATCTGAGGGCAAACAGGCAGGCAGCCAGCAGAAGGTACAGGAGCCGAGGCCATGACACCAGTTAGAAGGATGTTGAGATGGTCCAGTTGAGAGGTGGTGGCTGGGACCAGCTTGATGGTGATGGTGAGAAATGGCTGGAGGCTGGATTCCAGAGATCTCAGTGGATTGGACATAGGGCATGAGGGAGAGGGAGGCATCCTGAGATAGAGTTTACTGAAATGGAGAAGATTCTGGGAGAAGCAGATTGTTAAGGAAGGGTCAAGAGTCATGGTTCTGTTTTGGACATAGGAAGTTTGAGATGCCCATTAGTGAAAGTCCTGGGGGAAATATTGAAAAGGCAGCTGGATACCCAAGGAAAGAGGAAGAGGCTTCAGATACCTTTGGAAGCTATCAGAGTATAGATGGGGTTTTGCCATGAAACTGGGTGACTTCACCTGGGGGCATATGCCCCACTGGAGTTACACAGCTTTCCATGAGCCAACCACATTGGGGCGGGGAACCCTGCCATTCACTGATTGGTCAGGACTGGGTTTTGTGCCTAACCAGGCTAATGGAGAGTGGAGATCTTGTTCACCCAAACTGCCTGTCCTGAGAATTAGGGAGGGGTGGTTTCCTCAAGAAAATTCAGGGTGTTTAGCCAGGTATGGTGGCTCATGCCTGTAGTTCCAGCTACCTGGGAGGCTGAGGTGGGAGGCTCACTTGAGTCTGGGAGGCAGAGATAGCAGGGAGCCAAGATTGCACCACTGCATTCCAGCCTGGGCAACAGACTGAGACCCTGTCTCAAAAAAAGAAAGAAAAAGAGAGAGAGAGAGAAAGTGATAAGAAAAGAAATTAAATTCAGGGCACTCTTACCAGAAGGGAACCTGTTTGCTAGCAGCAAAAACAAAAGCAAAGAACAGTAACAAAAAAACCAAACAGCATCTGCCCACTAAAGCCTCCTCTCCCTTATCCCACACACTATCATGGGGCACCTATTCTGTGCGTTATTAATATTAGCTGAGCATGGCCGGGCGCAGTGGCTCATGCCTGTAATCCCAGCACTTTGGGAGGCCAAGGTGGGCAGATCATGAGGTCAGGAGTTCAGACCAGCCTGGCCAACATAGTGAAACCTCATCTCTACTAAATACAAAAAAATAGCCAGGCATGGTGGCGGGCGCCTGTAATCCCAGTTACTCAGGAAGCTGAGGCAGGAGAATCGCTTGAACCTGGGAGGCGGAGGTTGCAGTGAGCCGAGATCATGCCATTGCACTTCAGTCCAGGCAACAGTTCAAGACGCCGTCTCAAAAAATATATATATTAGCCAAGCACGCTACTCTGTGCCAAGTCCTATGCTTTTCTCTCACTTTTCCCAGCCTCCTTTCTTCCTGAGAGAACTAGCCCTCTTGGGGGCCGGGCCATGCCTAAGGGTCCTCCTGCTTCAGCTCTTGTCTCACTGCTACCAGTTTCCCTTTAATATGAGAGCTAAATGCTGTGATTACCCCCATTGATGAGGATGGGGGAGGAGAGGGGATGGGGGCCACTCCCCACCACTGAGAAAGGTAGATCATCAGGCTCTGACTGACTCCAAAGCCCATACTCCAACCCTCTCAAGTCTAGGCTCCAGGTGGGTGCCTGCTCTGTCCTCCACCCCACCACCCTAGAGACACCCCCAGGCACTTCCACAGCAGAGCCTCCAGCCTTCAGCTGGCAGCTGCTAGGACCCAGGGGGCTGGCGCCAGGCCCTGCCCCTCCCTTGCCAGCCCTGTGTGGCAACATCAGAGTGACAGCCAGTACCATCTCCGACAGGGGCTGAGTTGCTGGAGCTGGACTGGGGCAGGGGAGAGAGACGCCAGACTCATCCTTGCACCCCTCCATGGGGCTGGCCAAGCCCCCGAGAGGATGGCGGCCTGGGCGTCGGAGCCACCTCCTGGGCAGCCAATGAGGTGAGGGGCCGGAGGAGCTAGGGACAGGAGGAGGAAGGGACAGGTGATGGAAATCCTGCAACTATAGGCTCTACATTTTGCCATCTACATTCCAGCGCAGGGTGAAGCCTGAGAGCCCAAATGGCCAACTCCACAGGGCTGAACACCTCGGAAGTCGCAGGCTCGGTGGCGTTGATCCTGGCAGCTGTCGTGGAGGTGGGGGCACTGCTGGGCAACGGTGCGCTGCTGGTCGTGGTGCTGCGAACGCCGGGACTGCGCGACGCGCTCTACCTGGTGCACCTGTGCGTCGTGGACCTGCTGGCGGCCGCTTCCATCATGCCGCTGGGCCTGCTGGCCGCACCCCCGCCGGGGCTGGGCCGCGTGCGCCTGGGCCCCGCGCCGTGCCGGGCCGCGCGCTTCCTCTCCGCAGCTCTGCTGCCGGCCTGCACGCTCGGTGTGGCTGCACTTGGCCTGGCGCGCTACCGCCTCATCGTGCACCCGCTGCGGCCAGGCTCGCGGCCGCCGCCTGTGCTCGTGCTCACCGCTGTATGGGCCGCGGCCGGGCTGCTGGGCGCGCTCTCCTTGCTCGGGCCGCCGCCCGCGCCGCCCCCAGCTCCTGCTCGCTGCTCGGTCCTGGCGGGGGGCCTCGGGCCCTTCCGGCCGCTCTGGGCGCTGCTGGCCTTCGCGCTGCCCGCCCTCCTACTGCTCGGCGCCTATGGCGGCATCTTCGTGGTGGCGCGTCGCGCTGCCCTGAAGCCCCCACGGCCGGCACGGGGGTCCCGGCTCCGCTCGGACTCTCTGGATAGCCGCCTTTCCATCTTGCCGCCCCTCCGGCCTCGCCTGCCCGGGGGCAAGGCAGCCCTGGCCCCAGCGCTGGCCGTGGGCCAATTTGCAGCCTGCTGGCTGCCTTATGGCTGCGCGTGCCTGGCACCCGCAGCGCGGGCCGCGGAAGCCGAGGCGGCTGTCACCTGGGTCGCCTACTCGGCCTTCGCGGCTCACCCTTTCCTGTATGGCCTGCTGCAGCGCCCCGTGCGCTTGGCACTGGGCCGCCTCACTCGCCGTGCACTGCCTGGACCTCCGCGGGCCTGCACTCCGCAAGCCTGGCACCCGCGGGCACTCCTGCGATGCCTCCAGAGACCCCCGGAGGGCCCAAATGTAGGCCCTTCTGAGGCGCCAGAACAGACCCCCGAGTTGGCTGGAGTTCGGTGCCCCAGCATGCCAGGGGCCACCTGAGAGCTCTCTCTCCTGAGCAGGAGAAAAAAGGGTGGTTTCCATGGGGGCTCATCCAGCCCTTGCACAGGTGCCCTGCTGGACATCTGGCACTGGAACAGGAGGAGAAAGGATGTCTGCAGCCTGGTGAGGCCCATGGACTTCTGAGAGCCAGGAATGCTGGGGTCTGGACCCAGCACTGCATAGCGTTGTGCACAGGCCGACCCTTTCTTAGGCTTTCTCATCTGCACCCTGCAGCATCTCTAAGGGCCCCTCCAGCATAGGTGGTTTGTGAAACTCACAGGTAGTCCTCAGGCCAAGGTAGGCAGGTGTCACAGAGAAGGGGGCCCTAAGGGCTCACAACCAAAGTGACCCGCCAAGCAGGACAGGATCTGGGTTATAGCTGCAGTAGCAAGAACCACTGGAGAGACCCTCAGGACTTCCCTGACATCTGCACCAAGGAAAGTCTGGACAAAGCTACTGAAACTCCTCCATCTGCTTCTAAAATGCCCAGAAGACAACTGGACCAGTTTGGTGTTAGAAGCAGGAGGCGGGATGACTTGACCCTCTAAGGGTCCTGAAGCCGCAGAACTGGCATGTGGAAGGCGCTGAGGCCTAACTGAGGTTGGTGGATTCACACATGGGGGTCCTCCAGAACCTCAGCTGCACCCATTTTCTAGAGGTTTTCCCGCCCACAACACCAGTATTTCACAACTTCGTGGTCGCTGAGAATATTTATTCAAAAAACAGGGATTGAAAAAACTGTACAGAGTGTCTGCTGCTGAGAACTGGGCCCCTGCCCCATGCCACTCCCCCAGCTACCTGGCAGTGGCCCCTCTTTGGGGTGCCCCCTGACAAGCCCAGCCAGTTCATTCCAGTCAAAAGGGTATCAGTGGAAGCAGCAAGAAATCTGCAGGTGGTGGGGAGAGAAGCCTGGCCCCAGCTACCCCCCGGACCTCCTCCCTGACTCTCACAAGGGTGCAGAGTCCTAAGGGATGGGGAGTGCATGAGTGACACCAACCATGGTGGGGGCACTAGGGAGTCCCCTGGCTGATCCCTGTATCCAAGCACAGAGCTGAGGGGGTAGGGCCCCCTGGCCTGGGGCTGCCACAGCTCAGACCCCTGGGCCAGAAACTGCCCCCACTCTGAGAGAAGGAACTCCTATAGACAGAGGCAGGGTAGGGGGTGCATCCATGCGTCTGGGCGTTAGCGGCACTTGGGACCCCAGGGTGGAGTCTCCTTGGGCGAGTAGGGTGCGGAGGCAGCCCCCTGCTGTCGGTCCTGCCTGCCCCTGCCTGTACCACAGCTGGCCTCAGTAGGGGGAGAATTTCTGCCGCTCAGCCTTCTTACTCCCATTAGCTGCTGCCATCTTGGCAGTGTAGGCTGCCAAGCCCGGCGGCGGCCCTGGAGAAGCAGGTGGTAGAGCCAAGAAGGGCACGGGCTTGAGGCCGATGAAGTTGGAGAGGGAGATGGCATAGGGTGTGCCCAGCAGGCCGGGGGGAGCTGTGGGCAGGGCCGTCAGAGGCGGCGAGAAGGGGGCAGGCAGGTCTGCGGGGGCCGAGCCGGGTGTCCCCCCAGAGGTAGACTTGGCCGTCTCTAGACTGGAGAGAGGGATATAGAAGGGAGACGAAGGGGAAAGTGGGAGTGAGAGAGGGGCAATGAGGGCAGAGATGGGCATGAGATTAGATGAAAGGCAAGAGAGAGGCAGTGAAGAGAGAACAATGACATGGGTGGATGTGTTTGAGGGGAAGATGGGAAGTGTGGAAGAGAAAGAAAGAACAAGCAGATACAGCATGGGGTGCAGGGAGAAATGGGGCAGCCAGAGACAGCAATGAAGAATGAGGACATGAGGCGTGGATATCGAGGCAGGAGATGGGGCAACAGAGGGTGAGTTAGGCAAACACTGTGGGGAATTGGGGTAGGGTTAGGAGAGGCAGAGGTCCGGCCCAGACAGACAGAGAAGGCCAGCTGTCCTCTCCCCACTCCTGCCTTTCTTGGGCACATGAGAACCATGACCTGCTCCCCCGATGTTGCCCACCCCACGCTCACCAGGCAGTGATGAGGTACTGGGCCAGGGCGATGGAGACCGGTGACCCAGTGATGGTCACATGCCGCTCCCCAGCGCCCTCTGCTTGGTTCCCGATCTTGATATGTGCCCCTGACATCTGCCGGATCTCGCTGATCTTGCTGCCCTGGCGCCCGATCACACAGCCAATCAGCTAGAGGGAGGGCAGAATTCAACCCTGGGTGAGGCCCAGACCCCCAGGCTCCCTACCCACCCTCCAGCCATCCCATCCCCTGCTCACATCATTGGGAACCAGGAACTCCTGTGAGCTGGTCTGTGTGCCGGGATCCAGTCCTGAGTGGGGAAGAGGGACTGAGTGTGGTTCTGGGCCTTTCCTGCCCCACCATTTCCACTCTTCCTGGAAGGGAAGCGCTGCCCTCTTACGACCCTCCCCTGCCTCCTTGTGCAGGGGCTGCTCACCTGGCACCACGCTGGGTGTGGCAAAGGGGACCGCATGGCTTGAGAGCTGCTGGAGTTTGGTGACCTGTGCCAAAGAAGAGGGGTCAGAAATCAGAAGAGGCTTGGTTCGGGAAGGGGTGCCTTGGGCTGTGGGTCACTCACCTCAGCTGGGGTCACAGCCCCATACTGACCCTGGACAGAGAAGCCCTGTGGAGACAAAGGGAGTAAAACAGGGATTACTGTGACATTCGGTCAGTTCAGCCAGAGTCACTCCTTCCCCTCTCCCTGGACCCACAATTCCTTCTTCCATCCCCTCCTCCATCTCAATCCCCCTTCTCTAGTAATGTGTCCTGCTGTCCCTGCTGTTCCCCTCACCTGGTTGGCGGAGAGAAGGACAGTACCTAGGGAGAGGCTCGGATGGTAGGGGATAGTGGCTCCTTTGGGTGGGGACTGGAAGGCATAAATGGGGAGGCTCTGTTAGGACCCTCTCAGGCTCTGATAACCTCCCCAGCTACCCAGTGGCCTCAGGCCCCCACCATGAGCCCAGGGAAATGCACGTGATCCCTGGAGTTCATCGTCTATCCCTGCAACCCTGCTCTGCCCCACCTGTGGCACAGGGGGCCCGACAAGGCAGACCCAGGGCCCATCTCCTGCCCCTCTCTCCCTGCCCCAGGGCAGCACCTCCAGGATAACAGCGCAGATCTGGCGCACACACAGGATGATGGCATCAGGCACCCCAGACACTGTAACAGCTCGCTCTGTAGAGTTGGGGAGCAGGTCCCCTGCCACCTGTACCTGGGCACCCGTAGTCTGCAAACAGAAAACAGGGGCCGCTTTTGGCTGCTCCTATAACCCAGAAAAGGGCTGCCCAGGCTCAGAGCTCTCTAAGGGAGAGGATGCCATCAGCCTAGCACCCCTCTTACAATTACTCCCTTGCCTGGGACTCCCTGTGGGTGGTATCCCTCTCCCCTCACCTCTCGGATCTCCTTGATCTTAGTGCCAGCCTTCCCAATCAGTGAGCCACACTGGCTGGCAGGAATGACAAGGCGCAGGGTCACCGGAGGCCTGGAGACATTTCCACCATTTGCAGGAGCAGCACAAAGGTCCTAGGACACGGAGATGGTAGGTTAGCCATGCTCATCCCTGCTACATCCGCCCTGGGGTCAGGAGGGTACCCTTTTCCCAGTCCCACTTCAAGGGAACACTGCCCAGGGCTTGACCTCCCCTCCCACCCACAGCCACTATCTGGGATGGGAGTTGCGTTCCTCCCGGGGAACCATTCTTGGCCTCCTGCTCTGGCCAGCCACGGACCTCATCCAGTTTGAAAGCAATCATGGAGACTGCATGGAAGACAGCAGCTGTAGACCCGGTGATGGTGGTAATGCGTTCGGGGCAGGAGCCCTCGGAGATGGTGATCCGGGCACTGCTCTGCAGATACAGAATGAGCGCTGGGCAGCGGGGAATCTTCCCTGCTCCCTCGCCGGAACTCGTCTGCCTGCCCCACTCACCAGGCCCCAGGCATGGCTCAAAACTGCCACCCTCTGGAGCACTCAGTGGTCAGCCCAGATGGAGTGGTTCAGGGAAAAGGTGAGGCAGGGATCTCCCCTCCACATCAGGTGCCTTTGGCTCCTACCCCAAACTCCATCCTCACCTGCTCCCGGATTCGCTTTACAGTCTCGCCCTTCTGTGGAAGACAAAACAGGATCGCTCTTAACCTTAGAGGTCCCAGCCTCCTTCCCTGGGCTGAGGCCTCAGCTGGAGGGGGATGTACAGAGCAGAACTGGTCACCTACCTTCCCGATGATGCTGCCCACTTCCTGCAGACAAGACAAGAGCTGTCAAATGGGTGCTAGTGCCCAGGCCCAGCCCCCGCCCCTGCACTGGGACACCCAATGCAACCCAGCCCAGCCCAGCCCAGCCCAGCCCAGCCCAGCCCAGCCCGGCCTCGCCTCGCCTCCACGTCCCGCTCACCTTCCCGTGCATCAGCATCCGCAGTGTGAGGGTGATGCTGAGCTCTGGCTCCTCCTCCAGCCCCCCATCCGAGCCGCTCATCCTGTCAGGCGGGGCTGGGGCCACAGCGACCTGCAAGTGTGTCCACGCTGCGGCCTGGCCGGCTCTGGCAGGGGCAGCCAAAGAGGGATTCGAGAGGAGCGCAGTTCACCCTGCCCATGCCCTTACATGGGAACCCCAGAGCTGGGCCAACCAGACTCCCAGAGGAAAGAGATTGCATGGACCTTGAGTGCCAAACGAGGGTGCTTATGTGTGTCTCACAAGCTGTGTAAGCCTGGGGAGCCCATTCAACCCTTCTGAGCCTCAGCTTCCCCATCTGTAGAAGGGGATACGAATTCCCATCTCCAAAGGGTGACAAAAATTAAAACAATAAGCACATACAGGGTAGGTACCTAGTCTTTCCCTTACCCTGAGATACTAAAAGAAATAATTGACTAGGAATCTATGGGAGTCCAGAGAGGAGAGCCTCCTCCCTGACCTCTTGGAAAAGGGAACCTCTGTGGATGGGGGCTTGATGGTGGAGTTCAGGCTGAAACTTTACTCCATACAAAAGGCACTTGCATCCAGAGGCCATATCCTCTACTGGCTGGAGCACAGAGGAGCAGTTGTGGAGGAAGCTGGAGCGGTCGTGGGGAGTCTTGGAGGGAGAGAGGCCTCAGATATGGTCAGGTCTTGCCCTGCCTGGTAAAGGCTTGAGGGAGGACTGAGGCGGGCAATTGAGCCACACCTCCAGAGGCCACTCCCACCTCCCAGAAGTCACTAGAGCAGAGGCTCACTACGGACACCTCTGGGCAGGGTTCATTCAGCACTGCACTGCAGTGGGTGGGGCACAGGGTGTCAGGGGACTGGCAGATCTGCACATTGGTTTCCAATCTCTCTCCTATGTGCTGAAAATGGCCTTGGGAACAGGAGGGAAGAAGTGTCCAGGCTGGCCACACTCCCAGCCTGGAACACTTTCTACTGTACCAGAAGCAAGTCACTTGGGCTCTGAGTCTCAATTTCCTCACTCATAAAATGGAGGGAACACCTCTCTCTGGGACTGCGTGATGGGTAAGAAAAGGATTTGGTGGGCTGCGGGAATGTCAAGGCCATTAACTGATGGAGGAAGGTGGAGCCTGAGATTAGCTGCTGGGATTAGCTCCACCACTAGCCCTCCCCACACGACCCCTTTTCAGGCCCAACTTAATCCTGAACCTTAATCCTGCTTGGAAATCCCTCTCCTTAGGCGGCTGTCTCCTGCCAAGGCTCCGCCTTGATGGGGAGCTCACTAGGGGACCAGAACTCTATGGGGAAA